GCGTGTGCATGTCTGTGTGTGAGTATGTTATGTAGGCCTATGTATAGGTGTTAGTGTATGTATGTGCATGTGTGTGTGTGTGTGCGCGCGCGAGTGTATGTGTGTGTGTGTGTGTGTATGTGTGTATGTGTGTGTGTGTGTGTGTTTAGATCATCCTCTGTAATGATGACGCCAAAGAACTTACGTTGGTTGAGAAAGGGAGGTGAAATCTATATATATATAAAAGTGGACTTGGGAGGCTTTGTGCACAAAATACGTCCTATTTACCTAACCCACACCTTTGAAACTTTGCAGGCGTCCACAGCACCCATGTGGCTAGGACCTAGCTTCAAAAAAATCCACGCATACTGCTTTCCCCGATTTTTCCAAAAAGCTTTGTTTCGTCCACACAGAATCTTGGAAAAGTTCATCTTCTAAGGGGCTGTTCAAATATAACCTTACACCTTTTTGAGGACTTTTTGACTCCCCCCCCAAAAAAAAAAAATTTCTTACACTTTTCTTACATTTTCATTAAAAGGGGGCCCAGCTAGTTACAATATAAAACAAACCCCAATGTTTCCTTGTTACTCACGCAGGATGCCTCTCTGACTCAAGTTCACCCGTCTGTTCTATCCTCAACACCTTTCTTGAACCCCTCTGCCCTGACATGCCGTGGTAAGTTTACGAACCTTTTAACAGTTATTTATTTATTTATTCATTTATTTTTTATTCATTAATTCATTCATTCATTTGTGTATTTATTTATTTTAATTTTATTTATTTCTTCTTTATTCATTCATTCGTTTATTTATTCATTCATGTATTCTTTATTAATTTATCTAATAGTGTTTTCATCCATTCATTTATCGCCAATCCATTTATCATTTCGGTGTTGGGTAGGGGTGTTGAGGTCTAACGGTTTAGTACCCTACCAGTTGGTTGGTCAATTCAATGGCAGAGATTTTTTCTGCTATCCGAAGGGACTATATTGACTATTAATTGATTACTTCACTTATTTATTTATGTATCTATTTATTTACTCATTTATCAAGTCTAGAAGTTTAATTCCCTACCAGATACACGACAAGAGGCCGGTCAATTCAAAGGCAGAGCTTGTTTCTGCCCTCTGAATACGACTGTGTTGAGCGGTAACGCATTTTAAAAAGTTAGAGGAACATTCATACAATTCTGGAATTCGTATCCTTCTTTGTCTTGGGCTCATAATTTTGGTTTTTTTATTCTGTTTTTAATTTGGTAAGTGTTTTACAGCCTTTGCAACTGCATAAAGTAATATGAGCTGGCGGCAGGACACATTAACCATTTTCAGTTTGGTAGGAATCAATTTTGAATTCTGAACAGGTGGCGGCCGAAGCCTACTCTTATCGATCTTAGGACCAGCAGGGGATCTTTGACATGCGCAACTTCACACGGGACCTCCAAGACTTTTCTCTCTTGTCCGAGAAGGCTAGGTGTAGATCTTTCCTACCAGAAAATTAGGGGTGTGGCTGAAAGACAGCAGTAAGAAGAAGCCAAGGAGTAGCAGTAGAAAGACTACAGTAATAAGAAGGAGCCTAGGAGTAGCAGTAAAAGGCTGCAGTAAGAAGGAGCCAAGGAGTAGCAGTAGAAAGTAGAGGTGGGCAAAATCCGGATAATCTATAGGATAACCGGATAATTCTCAATGAAACATTATCCGAATTCAAACTCTTAACTCTCTTTTTTCCTGACCCGTTTGCCGAAGTGGGTGCACCCATGTGTTGAAATGATGCTACCCGCTTGTTGAAGTGGTTCTAACCCATTTGCCGAAGCAATTCATATCATATTATTTGCCGAAGAGGTTCACTAAGATAGTATCCGGATTTTGCTAAAGCGACTCTTTGCCCAGCCCTGGTAGAAGGGCTGCAGAAAGAATCAGGAGCCCAGAAACTTTACAACAAAGACACATACGACAAGTGGAAGAAAATGTCTATCTTTAAGGGGGGGGGGAGCTACACCCCAAAATCAGAATTCGGCTCAAAATCATGGAATTTGAGTTGTAGGCATTTTTAGCTTCCTCAGCTTCTCCTACAACTATTTCATCGCATGAGAACCCCCAAAAACCGTATTTTTTCCCCATACCGGACATGTTTGTAACCGCCATTTCCTCATAAAGTCAGTATTTTATTTTTCTTTATCGGCCGTTTTCTCAAAATGCGACTTTTCTCTATACTTTTTTGA